CACACACACCTTACCATGATATAGCCCTAGTTTTAGGAAATTTGAACACAAACACTATTGAACACAAAATCATCATCACCCTGATTTCAACTCAAGTTATTTCAATTATCATTTTTGTAATAACATTGTCCATGTCTATTAGTTGTACAAGGCGCGGCCTTCTTTATATTCATAGATCCCTAATCTTGAGAAACTCTGAACCTTCTGAAGTTTCATTCTCTGTCCGGAATAACAGAGCACAATTTGGAAATTCTGCCCAATCTGAAAGCCATGTTACGCAATTAAAGACAACCCTAATGTGTGTATTGAAAAAATTTAGAAAAAGTAAATAAAAAGGAAAAAATTTAGAAAAAGCAAACAAAAAAGATAAAATTCGAAAAGCAAATAAAAACCTAAAAAATCTAAAAAAAATGAAAAAAAAATTATTCCTGCAAACGACATTTCTTCCTTGAGAGGGGAGGTTGTAGTGAATCCCTTTTTTCTTTAATCCTTGATTTCAGACAATTTCAACGTTAAAAGCAGTTATCTGATGGAATTATTGTTCTTTCCCATAGATCTAATATCTTGCACCTAACAATTATAGAATCTGAATCCTCTCTTCTCCCTAATCAGAGATAATCCCATCCCTGATGTCTGGACAAAATACCAACAAAGAAATTACGGTTAAAAACCCTCCCCCTCCCTTTCTTGTACCACTTCCCCCTTTACAAAGAACCATTCGTTTAAATATACTCTACATTATGTAATTCTAACTAGTAAATGAAAAAAGGAAGTTAAATAGTGCTCGTTTTATTTTGTAAAAAATTGATGTTCATTATTTCATAATTTTGTAAAGAATATTGATTATGCTTCGTAACTCGTATTATCTAATTCTTGATGATGGAAAAAAACCCCAGATCTTGAACACTCTACGACAAGCACTGGAAGGAGAAGGTCAACCCATCTGACCTCTCCCACTCTTCCACTCTAGAAGATCTCGGACAACATCTACCGAGAGCTGATGAACCTGAATTAGAACATTGATTAATATTGTTTAGTTGAACATTCTCTTTATAATAAATAAACCACACAACCCTCTCTTCACAATAAACTATTGTTCTTTGAACCACTACACGTGGTACCCATGAGATAGTTCAAACAACCAACTTCAAACAGTTTTGTTTCATGTTCATTTCAACTATTTTTTTGTTCATTTAACTACTTATCGTTTAAGAACCTCAAATTACCAGTAAAAATAGTGCAAATGAACATAAAAATAGTTCAAAAATAGTCCCAGCTAACATAAAGACCGACGGCGGTTATACCGCCTTGTTCTACGACAAGCTTCGCTGGAGTTGGGCGGAGCTCCGATCACCTGGTTTGATGTCGGTCTTGGTGGTATAGTAAAAGGATCACACCCAGATCTGTCGTATATACGAAATCGTACATGCGACAGCGCACAAATGAACTCCAAAATTTTTAATGAGGGGTCTGGATCTGTGTGAAACATATGCTATTAAATCCTGATGCTCATCCGTAGTGCTGTGTACAACAATTGCAGCTGATGGTTCTAAAACTGGGCTCAGACTGTTTGTTTTTAAAAAATTTACCCCTATAATAACTGGCAGAGATAAATTTTTCAAAACAACAGCTGAACCTGAAAAGGTTGTAGACATATCATTAAACCTAATCTTAACATCTAGCTGCCCTACTGTTTCCATCGTCGAATTTGAACTAGCCCCATTTGCTGAGTCTAAATCGGACGGTACTAAATCTCCTACATTTCCTTGCAAATTATTAACGAAAAAATACTCACTGATAGCGACGCCCGTTGGAATGAGGGCGCCAGTATCGATTAAAATTTTAGTATTTTCAAAATGTTTACCTGTAGAATCCATGTCCATTGATACAGCACCTTCTAGGAATGATGTGGCTTCAATCATGTTTATGTCCGGACTGCGAAGCTTCTGGCCGTCCGGCGCATACTTGTAATGCCCTTGAACATTATGGTACTTGCTTTTGCACTTGACGCAAAATGTCTTCTGTCCGGATCTGGTACAATCAGCATGCTTGTGGTTCTGGCCGCAGTAACGACATACTAAAATACTGCAGTCGCGCATGTAATGCGCCGCACCGCATTTGAAACAGACTGGAGTTCTAGCTTGTTTCTGTTGAATTGCATTCACATTTTGCTCGGACTGTGACGATTTCACTCTCTGCTGGAATTGAAGGATGGAGTCGCACAGCGTTGTCCATTGGAATGGTACAGAAATAACGATGGATGCTGTCAACCTAGCTAACTCTGTGGAGTAGAAACCTTCACATATTTTCTTGAGCAGAAGGGACGCTTGCGACGTTGTCCATCCTGAGCTGGGGCCCCAAGCATCTTCTGCTGTGTCTCTAACTTTCTGCAAGTACGACTGAACGGATTCTGAACTTGCCTGACGGAAACCTTTGTATATATCCATCATGGCTTGATCCCTGGAGACGGGGCTATGGACCACAGTAGTAATGAGATGGAGCAGGTTCAGGTAAGAGTAGGAATCCTTCTGAGCTTCTTGACCGACATCTAGCGCCAGAAGACGTTGTTTCAAACTGGTGGAGCATGAATTATAAATCACAGCGATCCTCCCCACTCTAGTTGTCACGAAAAATTTATCAAACACATCAGCGAAATGGAGGGACCAATGCTTGAGAGACTTTGTAGAAAAATCTTGCTGTTTTAGGTTTTCCACAACCCGGGAGATTATTTTCGCTTCTCCCTCATTAAGTTTGTCCCATGGCATAGGGGACACGGCTTCATCAATGACAAAGGTTTGGGCCTTAAGCAGTTGCTGAACTTTAGATTTGTCATCTTCTCTCGCTAGATTGATTCTCGCCTCGGTAGATAGGGTGGTGGTCAAAGATTTTTTAACTGATTCATCAAGGTCTGGTATTCTTTCCACTGCGTCCTCAAATTTTTCGATTTGTAAGGCAACTGGGTCCTTGTAGGCTGGTAAAAACACCTCTCGCAACCAGCTGAGGAACCAATCGGGTCTACCTACAGGTCTTGGCTGTTCAGGGGCGTTGTTTTCCATCCTAAGATATGAGAATGGAATAGAGACAAATAATGCATTTAAACTGAAAAAACATGTTGTCCGTCTGTGTTTCTAACATTTTAACTAACTCACGTCAAATTAACTGTTGTCAATCTGTCGAAAAATACTAGAGCTTGATGAAAATATTTGCGCCATACTCATAAACTTACAAACGATTAAAAAAAATAAAGATAAGGTCGTTTTACCTTGGAATTATTAGTTAAATGTTCACAATTTGAAAAGTAACGGGTAACTGTGGTGTAGGATGAGTTGGCGTCTATTTTCAATGCCGAGTTTCACGCAAGCTCACCGATAGTACTCTAACATTCTGGTTAGGGTGGACCGAAATGTTAGAAAACTATTTTGCCGAATATTATCAAAAACGAGTGTTGTTATTTGGGCTTCCAATTTTTGAACTTTTCACCATGTTACATATGAAAGAAAAATGAATCAATACAACTACTCATTAGATCTAATATTCGACGAGTCAGTTTTTCTTACAATTTATTATGGTTTACAAAGATACAAAAACTATAGGAAAATACTATAAGAATCAAATTGCATGAATTGAGAATAGTTCAGGGTGATGGGAGATCTCCAGGGGAACCTATTAACTAGGGAGCTGGTCTTCAACTGCCATTTTTCCCCAAATTTCCACTCCACCCTAGCCTAGAGCTTAACCCTCGTTCCCCGGGAGCTGGCCGGCCATCCCCCCAGCACCCGGGCCTCAGGAATAACGGAACACTTGGCGTGGCTTGGTTATCGGCGTGGCTTGGGTTATTTATAGAATTCACATACAAACACGAATAAATCCGTTAGATCTGTACAAGGGATAGAGAAGGGGGGGGGCATGATACCCCTAGGTAGCTATGATCTCAGCGATCTAAAAAATCCTTGAATCGCTGATCGTAAAAATCAACAAAGTCACACATTGTTACAGTACACTGTCCAGTTAAGAGTGTAGTGTATAGATTTCAGAGTTGTAATAACTTGAGTGTAGATAGTAGAGCGTAAGGTGTAGATTGTAAAGTGTAGAGTGTAGTGTAAAGTGTGGAGTGTAGAGTATGTAATGCATGAGGGTAGAGTGTAGAGTGTAAAGTGTAGGGTATATAGTGTAGTATTTAAAGTATTTTGTGAATGAGAGCAGAATGTGGAGTGTAAAGTGAAAATTGTGGCCCGTAGAGTGTAAAGAAAGGATTAAAGAGTGTAGAGTGTAAAGTATGTAATGCAAGAGTGTAGAGTGAGGAGTATTTAGTGTAAAGGGTGGAGTGTAGAGTGTAAAGTGTGGAGTATAGAGTTTATAAAGTATAATTAAAAGTATGTAGTAAATAAATGTAGAATGTAGATTGTAGAGCCTAGAGTATAGATTGTGGAAGTGTGGAGTAAAGATAATAAAGTATAGTGTACAGTGCAAAGTATGTAGTGCATGAGTGTATAAAATAGCGTGCACAGTTCTCAGGATTTTTGTAAATTGGATGAAAACATGATAAGGGATTTATTACAAACTTTAGCCTACTTAATCCTTCAGGCAATATAGAGTTTTTTATTCGAATTTAATTTAATATTTTATCACAATTGAAAAAGTTGCAGTCGCTGGTGTTTAACCTGTTACAACCACATTCGATTGTTTAAAAATGATTGTTCATATTTTTTCTGTAAAAAAGAGAAAAAGTTTCGTTATCTGTTTTTTTCATTTATACATTGATAGGCAGAAAATATTGGAATGGGTGCACTGCAGAATTACAGCAATTGTGAACCTTTTATTTATGAAATAACTAAATGGCGAAAAAAATTTTTTTTTGCGAAATTAAGCTTCAATCTGTTTCATGAAAAATGCAAAATTTTAGCAAAATAGGAAATTCAAAAATTTCGCAAAAAATGCAAAAATTTTGAGAAAAAAATAATGCATAAATTTCTTATGCAAAAATTTTTCAATGTTTTATGGCAATAAAGAGTTTTTCTTAAATATTTTATCTAAAATAATATCAAAATTTAATGAGTGGCATCCTTTAATGTTTACACTGTTATATCCAAATTAGGTTGTTTTAAAAACGATCAAGAATAATTGTTCTTTCAAAAAGGAAATTTTCCTTATCAGCTTTTTGTTTGTCATTTATGAAGGCTAGACTATTATGTTTTTTGTACTTTGAGGTAATATAACCCCTGAATGCATATTCATAATGTTCACTAAATCTTCATATCAACAACAAACTGACATCCATCACTCTATGAGAAGTTTTCCAAAGTTGCAACATCAATATCCTGTAAATCGATTCTTGTTTCCTTGATGAGGGTAGCTCTCTCTAGAATCCTTACACACTCTTCTACATCATGTATTGTTGAGATAAGCTGGGTGAATCTATGATTGGCAAGATTGGAGTCTTGGCTCTTTCTCAACATTTCTTTATACAAGATCATCTTCAGCTTTCCTGAAATATGTGATGATTATACATATAATACAGATAATTATATCTTTTGATCTTGTGGTATAAATTGCAAAAATAAAGATTAAATTTTTTAAAAATATAATTGCTGTTTTCAAAAAGTTGTTGAAAAGTTATCATAAGGAAGAGATATTAATGACATAACCCTACTCTGTGATTTTTATACCTGGAAGAAAATTGTGGGAGCTGCCCAATTTATCAACTAAGTTACATAATAGCAGGTTAAAAAAGCAAAGATTCAGAACAGGATCAGACAGAAAGCTTTTTAATGTGTTGCAGATCTTCATAAAGAACTCTTCCACTTCAAGACTTTCAGCCCATGGGGACTTAAACATGTCACTTTTTAAATAGTCAACCATTTTGGCATCTTGCATGTAAACTGGAACAACTGCACTGAACGGATAGGACTCCACATTATATCCATAAATTGCTAAAAATTGTCGACATGTTAATCCTTCATTAGCAGAAGAAAAGAATACACCAAAGCATTGGTGCAATGTACGTAACTTTGCTTGCATAGTGGGATTGAGACCTGGGAGATCTGTTAAACAAGCATTGAAAATATTGTCAACTGATATATCAACCAAAGTACAATCTAAGGCTGTATCAAATGTCAGTGTTCGAGCATCAAGAGATTGATTATGATACCGTTCAAGTTCTTCATGCACAGTGTTGTGAGACATTCCATCTAAGTAAGTTTTGAGCAGAAGCTTTCTCCAGCTGGTCACAAGGCCACTGAAGAAATGGATATCTTCTGGGTTGAGTTGGTCGTTTCTGGTTATTTGGAACATTTTGGGATCCTTCTGAAACATGCTTGCTTCATCAGAACCAAATTTTTTACTTGTTTTGGGGTCAAAGAACAGCGGATGGGTATCATCTTGACTTTCCGGGATCAATTCAACCTCAAAAACTTTTTCTACTGTTATATTATCATTGAGAGTAACTGTAGATGTCACCAATTCTTCAGTTTTTTTAGAATTCTTTTCCTGTTCAGCGAAATAAGCAGCAATTGCTTTTTTTGTTTTGTCTACTTGCTCCGGTTTCATTCCAACCTCAATGCATTTGGAAAATCTACAGGTTTTGCAGTAAAGTCTGGCATTGATTGAAATTTTGCAATTAAGGAATCCAGATTTGCATGTCCACTTCAGATTCTGGCTCACGGACCTCCTGTAAAAAAATACAGAAATACAAAACATCCTTTGAATTTCTACTCATTAAAAATCACAAACTTTCACGGTGATTGTGTCAAAAATGAGAGTGCTAGGACAAAAAGTTACAGGGGGGGGCGCCAAATGCCCCCCCCCCAGCCTGTTTAGGAGTAAATTAAGACACTACAAGCATTCAACCAAAATACATTGATTGAAACCATTGAAAAATTTCTTTTATAATCACTTTTATTTCAATAATGGGAATAACTTTTTAATAAACTGTCCTCCCTACAACATAGCCTGTAAATCAGTAAATCATGTGCTACTTACAGAGCGTCCCATATCATATTAGATTATCTCCTATCTTTAACACCAAAATAAACCCTTAATACTCGAAAAACTTTTCCGCAAGAAAATTCTTATGTTATTTTTCAAAATGATTCATTCTAATGAAATTTTCTAATTAGTCCCGAAAATCGCAATTTAGACCCGTTCTCGGTCTAATATGATGTGGGACACCCTGTACATCCTAGACAACTACTGTACATTGAAAGGATTTCATTGTACAGTGGATTTTGATTACAAATAAAGAGGAAGTTGAGAACTTTTTTCAAAAGATATTTCATCAAAATTATATGTTTGTTTTGTATTGAAAGAAATTCTTTATTGCAACGACTTTAACACCAGTTTCAGTACATTTGTAAGCACTTTGTCTGCAATTCTAGCAGACAAACACTTTTGCCAGACAACTTTTTTGTAATTAAAAAGTCGATTATCTCCTTATCCAATTGCACAAATTATGATTTTTTTCGAAAATATAACAAAGAAATGCATCTCAATTGTATATTACGCATCTATCAATTTTAAAAATTCTTAAGTAGAGATTTTTGCCCTTAGTCAAAAAACTAAATATACTAATTTGACACCCCTTGCATATTATTTGTAGTCATACCCCAAATGAATAGTTTTATTAAAAGTATGACTATAGTTCAGGAAGATAACAATTACAAAAAGTGTGCATGCCAAAGACCTACCACCTCCTTTGTTACCCTAGAAGAAACTATAAGTAAAAAATTATCGTTTTAAAACTATAGTTTTTGGGTTTTTAAAACGATTCTTTTGATTTCATTTTCACCTAGAGCTGTAGGCAGTTATATCAATACAACAAAGACAACTTTCGATTTCAATTTTGATTAAAGTCAACAGGATGGATACACTTTAACATATGAAAAACAATTTAGCTAATGCCCATTACTATATGAATCCTACCTAAAGAATATTCTGCATGAATTACATATATTCCCCTCAGCTCCATAGTGCTGAAGCAGTTTCACTGTCTCATTGTCACAAACCAAACAGGCATAAGGCATCTCAACCTAATTGCTTGTAAAAGGGAGGATTCAATATTTTAGTAGGCGTTAATCTGAAAAAAAGTAATGGTTATCTTTATGATAATGAAATATTTATGTCTATTATTGATTCAACTTTTTACGACTCAAAGAAGTTCGTAGTAAGATTTCGATTTTACTGGAGACCACCGGAGGGATTTTATTTTCACTGGAGGGATTTAAAAAATGCTTTTTACAATTTAAAACTTTACACAGGCTGATTTACATTTAACTGGAGGGATTAAGATATCTTTCCAGGGGGGTTATAATTCCACTGATGGGATTCAGCTATCCTTCCTAGGGGTTCATAATTCCAATGGAGGGATTCAGAAAACCTTCCTGGGGGTTTAAAATTCCACTGGAGGGATTCCGATATCTTTCCTATGGGTTTATAATTCCACTGGTGGGATTCAGATATCCTTCCTGGGGGGTTATAATTCCACTGGAGGGATTGAGATATCTTTCCTAGGGGTTTATAATTCCACTGGAGGGATTCAGATATCCTTCCTGGGGGTTTATAATTCCACTGGAGGGATTCAGNGAAAGGATTTCATTGTACAGTGGATTTTGATTACAAATAAAGAGGAAGTTGAGAACTTTTTTCAAAAGATATTTCATCAAAATTATATGTTTGTTTTGTATTGAAAGAAATTCTTTATTGCAACGACTTTAATACCAGTTTCAGTACACTGTAAGCAATTCTAGCAGACAAACACTTTTGCCAGACAACTTTTTTGTAATTAAAAAGTCGATTATCTCCTTATCCAATTGCACAAATTATGATTTTTTTCGAAAATATAACAAAGAAATGCATCTCAATTGTATATTACGCATCTATCAATTTTAAAAATTCTTAAGTAGAGATTTTTGCCCTTAGTCAAAAAACTAAATATACTAATTTGACACCCCTTGCATATTATTTGTAGTCATACCCCAAATGAATAGTTTTATTAAAAGTATGACTATAGTTCAAGAAGATAACAATTACAAAAAGTGTGCATGCCAAAGACCTACCACCTCCTTTGTTACCCTAGAAGAAACTATAAGTAAAAAATTATCGTTTTAAAACTATAGTTTTTGGGTTTTTAAAACGATTCTTTTGATTTCATTTTCACCTAGAGCTGTAGGCAGTTATCAATACAACAAAGACAACTTTCGATTTCAATTTTGATTAAAGTCAACAGGATGGATACATTTTAACCTACCTAAAGAATATTCTGCATGAATTACATATATTCCCCTCAGCTCCATAGTGACGAAGCAGTTTCACTGTCTCATTTTCACAAACCAAACAGGCATAAGGCATCTCAACCTGATTGCTTGTAAAAGGGAGGACTCAATATTTTAGTAGGCGTTAATCTGAAAAAAGTAATGGTTATCTTTATGATAATGAAATATTTATGTCTATATATTGATTCAACTTTTAATTGGTATTTAGATTCACGACAATTTATTTATAAAAATGCTTGCATAGTAAAATGTGTTCACTCCTTGTTGAATTTTATTATTCATTAAGAAAGTTAAACCTTAATTTTGTTATTATAAGGAGAAGTAGTTGAACTACAAAGACTACAAAAGTGGTTCAACATAGTCTAACTCACAACTCACAATTCATTACATTTGATAACATGAAAACTCATGGCAATTGAATTAACAGTGGTATCAAAACCCCTCGTCCCATCCCCCTTCCTCCCTTATATTTACAGTGGTGCCCATAAAATTGTTGAATATGATTGCAAAATGTAATAACTATATGGTCCACTCAGCACTATACGGTGCACTCAGCACTGTGTGTGTAGATTGTAGTGTAGAAGAATTGGTAGGTATTGATTACGTCATTGCAGAGACACAGATAAGAGTACGGTGTTCACAATGCAAGGTTATAGTATACATAGCTTAGAATACAGTGTTCACAATACAAGTTTAATGAATACATTGCTTAGAGAGTACAATGTTCACAATGCGAGGTCATTGAATACATTGCTTAGAGAGTACAGTGTTCACAATGCGAGGTTATTGTATACACAACATAGAGAACATTTAAACAAGTCTGGTAAAAAATCATCAGCATTGGATTTTGAGTAATATTGGACACCCCTAGACTTTCATTGGAGAACACAATTTTTTCATTGGTGACCCCCAGAGTTTATTAGAGGCCCAAAGGTTTTTGTTTTATTGGAGGCCCAAAGGTTTCTGTTTTATTGGAGGCCCAAAGGTTTTTGTTGGAGACCCACAGATTATTTTGAGACCCTAAACTTTTCATTGGAGACTCCATATTTTGTTGGGGACCCCAAGATTTTTATTGGAGTTTACTATAGACTATCATGGAAGACCCCAGATTTTTGTTGGAGCTACCCCAAGAAATATATTGAAGACCCCCAACAGGAGGGTCTTATTTGGGGTCTCTAATAAATTTCTTGGGGTCTCTAACAAAAATCTGGGGTCTCCAATGTATGTGGATCTCCAATGGAAAGTTTAGGGTCTCCAATCTAGGTGTCTCTAACAAAATTCTTGTGGTCTCCAACAAGAATCTTGGGTCTCCAATGAAAATCTGGAGTTCTCCAATGTGAAGCATGGGGGTTATCCTGGGTGACGTCCAATGAAAGGGGTCTCTATAAATAGGGTTTCCACTTTCCAGTGAAAAAGGAAAATCGTTTTGAGAAAATTTCCCATTTTTTCAAATTTTGTTGGCTAGCGAAATATTGAAAAAATTAGCAAAATTTCGCTTCAATCTCTTTGCGAAAAAAAAAATTCGCGAAATTGGTAAGGCAAAATTTTCTCTAAAGAAATTGAGTCTTTGCAACAAAATCAAATATTTAAACCTCAATATCTTTAGAACTCCATGTTGTAAACCTTTGATATTTCAAATTCAGATTATTTGATCTAACAGAATTAACAGTTTGAAATATCTAAGGTCTGCAACATTTGGTTCCAAAGATATAGTGATTAGAAAATCAGAGTTTGTGGCAAAGACTCAATTCAAAAATTTTGCGAAAAAAATAATCCGAAATTTTCGTGACCATATTTTTGCAAATCTTTGCGAAAAGAATAATGAAAAATTTTCACGAAAAATAATGGGAAAATTTCGCAAAAAACGGAAACAATGCAAAAAAACAAAACTCTATTTAAACTAGAATTATGATATGTAGACAGAGAAAAGAAGAAGCAGTTAAAAATAATAACAGTGCAATGAAAATAAAAATATATAATGATGATAATGATGATGGAAACCTCCAGGAACCTATAGCTGGCTCTCCCTGTTTGACAACTTTTTCTCTTTTCATTGTCCTGAACTTGGATCAATCCATTTAAAGCTCTTTATGTTGAGTAGAAATCATGCAACTTTTTGCTGTGAGAGTTATTGACAGCCACTCCTCTGTCAGCGTACATCTGTCAGGTGGCCAAAACTGTTTAACCAGATGTTAGCTTCAGATGGAAATCCAGTTACTGGCTGCATGCAAGTGTGCTTGATTTCAGTGATATAATGAGAACTGGTATCACTTACTAGCCACCACACCACACCCAATTGGATAGAATTTCAGAATTAGTATCCTGCCTGTTTGATCTCTTCAAAATGAAATTTTTGACTTTTCTGTGGTGGAGCTAAAGAGGACCTTTTTCTGAGCTTGAACCTAGCTTCCTCCACCCAGCCAGATATTATATTTGTGTGATACTGTTTTCCAATTACTGGTTTATAGATATTTATTTCCTTGAATAATATATTGAGTTTGTTTTGATTTTCGTCTCACCTTAGTGGTGACCCCTAGTTTTTTGACATGCATGTTAGTTTTTTTCACTGGCCTGTCAGCTGAAATTGCACCTGGCTCCCTGTTTTCTTCACAGCCTCTGCATAGTAGGATACAGGTTCAGTTTGATGTTTTTTTTTTCAGCTTCAGTGAGTTGTGTGGCATCTCGGAACCCTACCAACCACAATGTCTCTGTCTACTCCTTCTCCTTGAAGGTGCCAACCTTTTGACCAGACAGTGCTAATGCCTGGATTGCTCAGACTGACTGATTAGTTTGTTATCAAGCGCATAACCTCCAGTGAAATTAAGTTTTATTATTGCGTTGCAGCCCATTCCAAGGAGGATGCTGAACAGTTAGCTGACCTGATCTGCTCCCTGCCATCATCAGAGCCCTACAAGACCCTGAAGCACCACCTGTTTGAGTTGAATTCTTTCCAGCATTTAGAGTCCTTCAACTCTCTCCCGTTGTCCTATACATCAGATGATCTGGTGGTTGAGAATGTTTTCGCTGTCTCCTCCTTCTCAAGGTTGTAATGCAAGGAAAGTTAATTGCTGTCGCGTATACTCTGCCCACATATTGAAACCAGTTCTCTCTGGGCGGAATTTGTAAACAAGAATAGGTTCCTTAGACCAGAATATTTTATTGATTTTTTTATGTGAAAGATGGATCCCATGTCAGGCTTCGACATCCGTCTTGTGTTTACATTAGTGCCCAGAGATAGTACACTGCAGTACAAAAGATGTGTACACTTCTGAAATAACTTTCCTTGCATTACATCCTTGCTCCCTCTCATCTTCTCGGCCTCCTTCCATGCTAAGCCTGGCAGAGCGTCCTTGTCAAGGCCTGGGTCCTCACTCAGGTCACTTTAGGTTGGTGTTGGTACCACAGGTCTCATGGAGAAGAAGCTCAGCACTGCTAGAACCCCAGTTCCTATTTTCCGGGAAACTAAATGGCCAGTGGGAGGAGCAAGCTAACTCTCTTCCCCTTAGAAAATCCTCTCTCATCAATCTATGACACTCCCTCTCTGGTAGGAATTCTTTGGTAGATACGGGGGCGTCTATATAAGTTTTTTCCTCACTCATCTCATACCTACTCATAAGTTGCTGCTTGCAGTGCTGCTGGTTCTCACCTATTAACAGCAGGGGTGGGACTCTCTGCCGTTTTTTGGTGATAGAATACTCCCACTCAAGTTTGGCTCCAACAGTTTCCAGTGGAGTTTTCGACTAGCTCCTGTTACAACTCCTATCTTGGGTTAGGATTTTCTCAGGAATTTTGTTCTCCTGGTAGACATGGCTGGAGGACAAGTTCAGGAGGCGGACTCCCTTGATGTTCTGTCAGCTGATTCCTCACACTCCTCTTCGGAACCCTTTTGTGCTCTGAGGTCCACTCCCTTGGAGATCAGGAGGTTATTGGCTGATTACCCTGATGTCCTCTCTTCGGATGGTTTTACAGCATCGAACCCCATGCATGGTGTGTTCCATGATCTTCCCACAGTGCCTGACCCTCCTGTTTAGCAAAGGCAAGACACTTAGATTCCGAGAAGTTGGCCTCTGCCAAGGATGAGTTCGCAAAGATGGAGGCTGCTGGCATCATCCGGAGGTCAAGTTCCCTGAGCTCAAGTCCTCTACACATGGTTAAGAAGTCAGATGGCTCTTGGCGCCCCTGTGGGGACTATAGGAGGTTCAACAGTGATGGTCCCTGACAGGTATCATCTGCCCTCAGTCTCTGATTTCTTCACCAAGATATCTGGATCCATACTGTTCTTCAAGCTGGACCTACAGAAAGGTTATTATTTTGGCGTTAGGAATGTGGCTCAAATGTTCCAGAGAATGATGGATGATATTTTTGGTGATTTGCCATTTTGCTTCATCTACCTGGATGACATCCTTATCTACTTTCCGGATTTAGCCTCTCATCAAGATTATCTTCAACAAGTTCTTCAGCTCTGCAGAGATCATGGTATTACCATCAACCTGGACAACCACGGCCATTGTGTGTCTGCCTCTGGCTCCACTCCTTTCCAGAAGTACTGCTCGGCCATCTCCCAGTTCCCTTGTCCAGTTGATCGTCCTTCTCTTCAACGATTTCAGTGAGCTCCCCTAGATTTGGCTCCGCCCCGGGCAGCCCTACCTTGGGTTAGGTTCAGTTCTCCACTTTCTCCGCCTAGTTCTTCAAAGTTCTCTTGTTCCTAGAAGAAACTTTCATGTATCTTGTTTATATCCAAAGATAATCATAATTTAAGTTTATATAAGGTTACTTTTAAGTTTTAAATCTTAACCTGGAAGAAATTATTATTGAAGTGATTGTAGATAGTGCTAGTGAAGGGGTCAGTTATGAGGTGGAAGGGGGAGGGGAAGGGGTTGAAAAGAATGTTGAAGATAAACCTTAATATCAGGTGAAACTAAATAAATTGAGAGAAAACGGAGTAGGAAGATTTGTTGGATTATAATAAGTAGAGAAAGAGTGAGTCATGTTAGAATTATCAGGTGGAGAACATATGCCTTATTAGTTTAGGATAGAAAATGAAAGATTGGGACAGTGAATCAGAATTTGGGATGAAAAATGAATTTTGGAACAAAAAATAATCTTCAAGCATACAAATCTTACT